GAAATGACTATTTCATCTGCAACAATTTGCTGAAATTCTGCTAATGTGAATGCACCTTAACTCAGCAAAGAAGTGATGTGTGGGAAAATGGCAGAAAAATAATCAAAAGTTGTCTGCAAAATAGCGACCACAGACTTGAGAGGGATCAGCGAACCTAAAACACAACACCACAATGACAAAACCTGAATTGGTTCCAGCACAAGATGACTCAAGTGATGGAATCATTAGCTTACAGGATGCAATAGAAAGCACAATCAATCACTACATAACGCTATTGGCTAAAAGTAAACCAAGTCTAGCAGAGCAGCAAGAGCAGACTGGTGAGGGTGTCCAGCTTAAACAAAGCTATTAGTGTCAGGAGTCCTTCACTGAGGAGTGTGGCTAAAACAACTAATGACAGCAGCTGCTCTGTTCAACTTCAGACCAGCCTGAGCTCAGGCACACATCTAAACAGTGAGGGGCTATCATAAATCTGAGCACAAGTAGGCTCTGTTTTCATGTGTTATTTGTTCTATCATTCTAGCATCAAATTGGGGTTGTAGTTCTGGACTGTTCAGTCAAGTCAATTTGGTTTTTTTTATTGGGATGACCAAAACAACAGCTGGCATTAGTGTATGACAAATTCCTGAGACAACTGGGAGGACACAATAGACCATTATGGTCTTAGCAAGGCATTATGTGACATCGATAAGGTTGTTTAAAATGATCAATGTCTTGCAAATTAAGTGAGCTCACTAAGTTTTTGTATACGTTTAGCTGGCTCTTATTCAACCTAATAGTAGCCTACCAGTGATTTTGTACTTTATAAGAACACTTAGTGGCTTGATGCATGAATTTTATTTTCACTTGTAGGCTACTTATTCTATTTGAACTGTCTTGAGGATACCACACTTGCCGATCCATTCTATCTGGACTAGGCTGTTGCTAGGCTTTAATTTGTTTAGAAGTACTTACAGGTTTAAGCTTTGTGTACGGTCTAAAATCATTACACAAAATGAACAATAGTATTGTTTAAAATAGTAACTAGTTAATTTTATGATGCAGCCGGTCACGTGATTTGAACATGGCTACGCCCATGAGGGGCGACCCGCTCCAGGTAGAATTACTGGAATCTGTCTCATGTGAGTGTATCATTTTAATGATATTTCACTGCCCATATCTCTTTGTCGAAACCCTTTTAAAATTATAAGAAGTTAGTGAATGCGCCTTAAAACCAACAGTTTCCACACAAAACGACCTCTCATGAAAGATCTGCTAGTGAATGGGTCATGAACTTGTAGAACTGAATTCTAGAATGTACACAGAGACGGTGTGATGAGTGACACGCGGTTATCTACAGACCTGCTGGCGTTACAAGGGCAGGGTGATAACACAGCATGGCATCAACGCGATTCAAACGATCATTTCCAGTCAAAACGAGGCAGTGGCCAGACAAACTCCGAGAAGCAGCACAGGCAGCTCATATCAAACGACGGCAATCCATGATAGTCCACTTACACTATCGAGTTCTCTGAGCTTTAGTAGTTTATTCGGGTAAAAAGAGGCGAGGCGGGTCAGAATAACACGGGACAGCTATTGAAGTGAAGCGATCATTGTGCGTTTCGATTCAAATCGACTTGAATTCCTCAACATCAGATCTTTTCATTCTCAAGAACTGCACTTCACATTTTAAGCGGACCCCAGATGAAACCCCCACAAAAAGGCAGAGATTTGTTTGCATTTCCAAGACAGATAGTTGATGTATTTATATTTTGCATTAGAAAATACTATTTATTTTGTAGTTTGACAAGAAAAATGGTGATCAAACGGCATTCGTTTTATCCGATGATGAATCGCTACATGTAACCACGCGAGCCATTTCATCAATTACGATGCCCTTCACGCGCTGCGATTAAATGCAATCGTATAAAAGCAAAACAAAAAAGAATCGATGTTTCAAACGGAGCACAGGCCGCTGCTCAGTTCACACCATGCGTGTATAAATCGATGCATCGCATCCTTTAAAAGCCCAGCCCAACCCAAACATGCAAAATCGGAACGAAACCAAACCTGATTCCAGAAAATATTCAGAACGTAAACCAAGTTAGTTGATTGTGGTCCCAAATGAAATGACATTTTGAACAGGGAGTTTGAACCAGGCAAACAGGTTGAAATATAAGCAAAGTAAACATGCTCCAAAATGTCATCCATTTACCTTCAGATGATTTTAAAAGCGCCTGGTTTCGACTCCTCCGCTTCAGTCTGGAAAAGCGGACAATCCACGACTTCACTCCGGCGACAAGGTGATACGGGAGGCGTGTGGGTCCTTGTGCAAATTGCTTAAAATATACAAACGTGCAAAAAAAAAAAAAGCCCTTTATATCAACCCACTGCTTCACCCTCGCGATTCACCGTGAGCTGAAATCGGTGTTAAGGAAGTTGATCAAATCCTAACGAGGCAATTCATAAACAAAAAGGATCACCAAAAATCCCATCGGACTCCCGGTTTTCATCCAGTGGGATCAAGTACCGAAATACACTTCAAAAGGGCAGTGATGTCGCTTTACAAACTATGGCCCCGCCCACTTAGCATCCAGCACGCTGCTTCACCATCATGTGTTTGAAAAACATGCATAACTGAGGACTACCAACTCAACACTGGAGTTAACAATTAAATGGGCAGGGACATCAAAATAAAAACAATGCTAATGTATTAATATTTTCCAACACAATTAGGACTAAAAATGTACAGTGTTATAGGTTCTATCTGCCATGAAAATGACATAAAAATAAAAAAAGGGTTAATTATCAGCAGACAAAAGGAATATTGATTGTTTTTGCTCTAATCTTTGTGCAAGTGTAATTGATCATTTGAAATTTTTTTTTAAAAAAGTTGATACATGGGCATATGTGCCATTGAGGAAAAATATTTACAAAAATTGTACATCCTCATGAAAACGTATTTTTCTTTAAAAGCAGACGGGAGAGAGAGTAGGGATTAAATCGCCTGCAAAAAGCTGATTTCCTAAAGCTAAAAAAGTGCATTCAGTCCGGCATTTGCTATCTTCACCCCTATGATAAGGTTAAGATAAACTATAAGTAAGATATTGTGAGCATCTGAGCACATCACAGAAGTAGTTTTGGATAAGATGAATTAAGAAATCAGTCAAAATTAAGCCTCAGATGATTATCTTCTTGTTATACTGCTGTAAAACCTGTCTGTATATGATTACAATGGGCTTATTGAGGTGGTTAAATTAAGTCTCTTCTGGTTAACTCATTCTGTTTGAATAGCTGGGTGTGGCTCATATTCAGTCCCACCTCAGGTTGAGAATAGGAAAGCAGGCCTTTATAGAATGGCCACAGGTCTGAGATCAACATCTGAGGGGATTGCTCTGTTTGAACAGTGCGTGTAATCTCTTTCTGTGGTTTCAGATAGCCAACTCAAACAATGTACATTGGCTAATGCAATGGTTAGTGCACCTGCTTAGACCAGCTATTCAAACATGCCTACAAACTCCCTTACCCTCTTCCACAAACAATAACCTTGGCTAAATCATTTTGAAGCAACTTTAATATTTTACAAGTGCAATTTAGGTGCCACAGATGCCATCTCTAATTTGAAAATCTTCAGATTTGTGATAAAATGCTCTCATTATACCACCTAGTGGTACAGTAAGAAAGTATTGCATGTATAGGTGGTCAATACAGCTTTAAAAAGTGTTATAATTTACTCTAATATGGAACAACAACAGGACAAGGAAAATGTGTCAATATTAAAAAGTCTTTAGAAAATCTCTGTATTGAACAATACATGTGAACATTAAACAAATGACCCTGTCAAGGCCAAAGCTTGGGGAAAAAAGTGCAATGACACTTATACAAGTGTTTAAAACAAATAAAAGAAAAATCAAGAAATGAAAAATCCTCCATTTTTAAAGTCAGTAGATTCTTCTACATCACTTTATCTACATGCTGTTTGTGTTGCCTTGGTCAGCAAAGTATTTGCACAAGTTGTCCATCACAAAACATTTAAAAAGACACAATTATCAGGCTAATATGAAATATTTCAGGTACACATCTGACAACATATGATGTGATTTCTGAACAACATCCCTGTGTAGCTTCACATGTTAGTAACAGAAAGTGTGGTCTGTTTGCAGATTGTGCGCTTTAAATTCATTTGAAGCAGAAAGGAAACAAGAGCCAACACAACATAAATAAAACACTACACTACAACACGACTGAATTACACATTAAAATAATACAGAAGTATTAAAAGGAAAATGTAATCATGTAATATGACCAAAAAGCAGTTCACTGACATCAAAATAATATGATTGGTCCCACTTATGGTGTACTTTAATTAATGGCTTGCACAGGCCCTGGAATTTAAATATTTATACATCCTTCTCTTATCATTCAAGTATAATGGAGAAGATCTAATTAGGCTTGTTAGTCCTCTGTGAGAGTGAGAATCATGCATGGGTCAAGCATTTTTGATGAGTTCTATTGTTCTAATATGTCCCCATGGTAACAGAACACTGTGCCCTCACCAGTAATCTTACAATAGTGTTCTTGAAGGCCTCGGTTTTAAAACAAAGCTGATGAAGGCTGGCTGTATTTTCTATAAAACACTAGATCATCAAGGTTAAGGCTGTCCAATATCATTTATAAAATAAGATCTCACTTATGGTATGCAAAGCGAGTGATTTGATACAGATTAAACAATAAATCAGTATGGAATCAAATTATGGAGGTATGATTACTGGTGAACTTGTGTTCCAAAAGTTCAGAAAAATACAAAAAGCAACTGAAAGTCATCCTCTTCAACAATGAGGTATTACATTCCAAAATGACAGCCAGCTCTACACATCAGGAAGTGTTAAGGCTAAATTTCTGAGGCATTCTGGGTGTGAATTCATACTAGCAGAGCATGTATTTTTGTTATGGATAAGTGGAGATGATATTAAGACACCGGGGATTGCTGTTTCTGCTCTAAGTGCTAAATAAGAGACAACTTATATTTAATGATGTTTAATCACATGGTCTCCTCATCTTTTTTTGCAGCAAAGGTCTACATCTGCTAAACGCTTAGGCCTGCCAGTTCAGTCTTCTTCTGGTGCAGAAGTTACACATGACTAGAAGTTACTCAAAGACATAAAAAACTATCCAACAGAACGAACAGCAATATAATCATTGACCACTATGTCTCCCAGTATTGGCCACAGATGACCCACTTGCACACCACAGCACGTGCACTGAACAAACATGTGGGATCAACATTCAGGGAATGATTATTGTACATATCGCCTGCACGTGTGCAGTGTGTTATCTGTCTAATACGGTCTCGATTCAAACCTTCTTAGTGTTTTTATCAGTACAGACAAAGAGACAGTGCTGGGCTGCCTTTAGCAACCTCCAGATAAAAGTTAAAACTAAAATCAATTTGAGGTAAAACTTAAATTTTCACAGACTGGAGCAATTCTTCTGTAAACATCATATATGCTCTTCACCACTTAAGGTCCAAAGTGAAGCGACTGTGACTTCTTGGGTATTTTGTCTGGAGTTTTCCTCACATTGCCACTGGCTTCCTTCCGGTTGCAGTACTGTCAAGGTGACCAACAGAGGGATCTTCAGGCATCAAGTCCCATGATTGTACTAGTTGACGAGGTGCACATCCTCATATGTGGTGGTTCTGCAGGGTTACACCAACACACACGATTACAGCCTTCAGTTACAAGAATTTCATGTTAAAATATTTTCTCCTATCCCAGTTCAGCCGCGATTACACTGAAGTAGTGACAGATCTTTTCTTCCATGTATTGTTACATACATCTGAGTATAATTGATTATTGAAAAAAAGAGAAAACGTAGGGCGAGCACTTTATTCTATCCATCAGCGGTTGATTGGATTTTGAGATGTGGGTGTTGCACTCAAAGCACACTGTAAAAATTGATTTTAAAAATTGTAATAAGTTTTTAAATTTGTAATAAAACAAAGAGTACCGTTTTAAAAGAAAATATCATTTCAGTTGTTCAACTTAAAAATTTCATGTTTAATTTAATGTGTTACTTGCTATTTCTTTGTAATTAATTTAAAGGAGTCATATGATGCGATTTCAAGTTTTCCTTTCTTTTTGGAGTGTTACAAGCTGATTGTGCATAGATAAGATCCCTGAAGTTGCAAAGACTAAAGTCTCAAAACCAAAGAGATATTCTTTATCAAAGTTAAGACTCTGCCACGCCCCCCTAAAACGGCTCGTTCTAACACGCCCCCACATATCTACCTCACTATGTGGAAATATTTGCATAATGCCGCCCAAATGTTCACACAAAGAAAGAAGGCGTGGTTTCAGTAACCGCAGTTAGTGTTGAAGCAGCCATGTCACTTTATTTGGCCTTCCGAAAGTAGATGCATTTAGGAATCTTTAAGATTACTTACAACAGAACAGCAATGCATTTTATGGACGACCGTTTCGTGAACCTAGGAGAGGAGGTAATTCTGACTTTGCTATGACAATCTGGCGCTTCTGAATCAGCTACTGTTTTGTTATTAGTTTAAGTATTTGCTATTGACTGCTCAAATGCAGAGTTTTGCGCATCGTGTGTGTGTGTATGTGTGCGTGCGCGCGTGTGTGAGCGAGAGAGAGAGAGAGGGTAACATCACAGTGGAGTCAGCTGTCTTAACCGTGGCTTGTGTACTGCAAACACATACCAGCTTCATCACTGAGTCTGTCACGCAACTCTGTTCCCCTTTCGGGCTCTGTCTTTACATTTATTTTGAAAGATGAAGCTCGCGATTATGGTAAGGGGCGTTACATTTCCGACGAGTGCTTGCGGTGTTCGGCCAATCACAATGCACTGGGTCAGCTGGCCAATCAGAGCAGACTACGCTTGTCGGAAGGAGGGACTTTGTAGAAAACGAAGCGTTTGAGAGAGGCGGGGCATAGAGGACCTACAATAATGTACAGTATTTGAAAAATAATGTGTTTTTTGAACATTAAACCATGTCAACATATTCTGTTACACCAAATACACAAAATAATGATCTTTAAAAAAGCATCATATGACCCCTTTAAATATTTAGCAATTTCGGAGAGAAGATCCAGTTATGATTTTGACTAAATGTTACAAAGTAAAAAAATAAATAAAATAAAACAAATTAATAAATAAAAATAAACATTTGCACATATGAATTGTTGACAATAAGATCTATAACAAGCATTTAGAAAACAGATTGGGTGAATTTTCACTTTATTGTGTAGTAACAACCATAAGCTGGTTTATTAGGCTGATTTTCTTAAGAATATAAACATTGTGGTGCTATCAAAGAAAAATTGCAAAAAACTAATTTTAGCAATTATATTTGGTAACACAAGTGGAAATAATATACTTAACCTGTAAGAATCAATGCATCAATGTATTTTTGTGTGAAACTAACTGCATTATTTCTGCCCTTCACTATTGCATTTTATTATTATATTATTTTGAATGTAACCACATGCAATACATTTGTGTTAATTGGGGGCATTTAAATATGTGACTGCTGATATTAAGAGGCATTTTCATTGTTACTATGATGACACACCTGTCACAGCAGCAGAAGACAGCGCACGGCGAGGTCTCGATCCCGCGGAACTTTCCAGAGCTGGCCGTGTCAGTGCACTCAGCGATGAATGCGTGCAGATCGGTGATATGGACAGGCTCCTGAGTTTGATGCTGAATGGAAATGAAAGGATATCATGTTACTATAATCAAGCTGTTTGGATCGTCTTACTCAACACTTCGTTTTACTACCAGTCACAAACAGTATAACACCTTTATGAGTTCATCAGGAAAAAAAATACTGATTAATTTACAAAAATATGAATACAAAAGTAGATAATTAAGAAAATTAAGTCAAACTGATTTAAAATAAAAACAAAAAATAGATTAAAAAAGTAATTTAAATGAAAAAATTGAAAATAAACACACATACATGCATAAAAACAATTATTATTGAATTAAATTCTAAGACATGCATGTTTGTACATGTGTGTGTGTGTGTGTGTGAGAGAGAGGTTATCAGGAACAAAAACATGTTTTTTTCTTCATCTGCCTCGTCTTTCACTCTTACCTTGATGGTCTCATAAGCTCCAGTGATAAGAGCGATAAAGAGAGAGAGCACCATGTAAATGAACAGAGAGATGAACGTGTAAAGGTAAACCTGCAAAGAAACAGAGTATATTTACTGCACTGAATTCTGTAGCATTTGTCGTTTATGTACCTGTGTGAGGAGCTGAGGGTCAAACTCACCTGACTGAAGACCCAGACAAGCATGCTGCTCTCTTGCATGCCGCTGAAGGTCACAAACATGTCATCTCCATTGATCAGAGAGAAAAGACACTCAGACACCAGTGAGAGAGAGCGGAACTGAGGGGAAAAAACACCATATATAATGAGAGAAAAGACACATGCACATTTTTTTTATTTATATTCATATACACTTCTGTTCAAAAGTTTGGAGCCAGAATTTTTTTTTTTTAAGTTTTGAAAGTCTCATATGGTCACTAAGGCTGTATTTATTTGATAAAAATATTACTACAATTTAAAATTGCCGTTTTTTAAATTTGTATACACTTTATAATGTAATTTATTCCTGTGATCAAAGCTGAATTTTCAACATCATTACTCCAGTCTTCAGTGTCTCATGATTCTTCAGAAATCATTTTAAGATGCTGATATGGTCCTTCGAAAAATGTTTTTTTATTATTATCAATGTTGAAAATGTTTGTGCTGCCTAATTTTTTTTGTGGGAACTGTGATACTACTGTGAAAAAGTTTGAAAGAACAGCATATTTTGTAACTGGATCAATTTAATGCATCCTTGCTAAATAAAATAATCAATTTATTAAAAAAAAATAAATCTCATTGACTACAAACATTAGAATCACATTTTAACAGTATAAATACTATAAACTTTTTATAGTCTATTTTGGATTTCTCTGAATTTTTTACATCACAGCATATATGAAATTAAAATAATTTGTCATATTCTTAAACAAAAAAATTGTTTAAAAAAGAAATGACATTTTACTAAAAAAAAAAAACACATTCACCTTGAGAAAGAGGAACATTTCTAATATCAGAACCAAGTATGCCATTTTTTTGGGAGATGTTCCATGTAGTTCCACATTGAACTATTTTGAATTAATTGTATTATGCTTGCTTGGCCTTGTCAGGCTTAAGTTGCATACCTTCACATGGTAGGGTCCCAGCACAATCCACCCACAGAAGCAATAACCGAGGTAGATCACCGCCACACAGCAACAGAAACGGATCACATTAGGGAATGCAGCTCTTAAAGTGACAATGAGAATCTGAGAAAGGAAAACACCATATAGTACATAAAATCCACATCCTAAAAAAAACATCTCGGTTGTTTCACAAGCAAATCGCCACTAGAGATGTGGTGACATTTCAGGTGCATTTAATGATAGAGTGAATGGCACCAAAATAAAAAATGTACAAAAAATAGAATATAGTTGTTATTTCAAGATAATACTTTTCTTCAAAGTGTAGTACATTTATTCAAAAATTTTTATAGAGTTCCAGGCTTGGTAGTGATATATTTCAAATATATTTCATATCTTAAATGCACAGCATGAATAAGGTTAGGCAGGAATTTTACGTTTATTTTCAGCCGATGACAGTGAAAATCTAGAAATGTAAGCAACTTTATTAAAAATAATTTACGAAATAATATACAACATGGCCAGTGTAACTGCATGAACACATGTGTATGGGTGTGTTTGTTTCTCACATTGTACTTCTGAAAAAAGGTGAGGTAGCGAATAACTCCAACCCAAACCAGTAACGTTGAGGTGCCCAAGAGGATCCCACACTCATCGTAGGATGAGAGGTTCTGAGGGTTGAAACAAAGTATCGTGAAGTATCAGTGCTGATTGTGGTGATCCAACGCAATGCATCCATATACATAAATATTTCAAAATGTCCATTTTCTGAAGCTGACAGTCATCTGTGCTGACTGACCTTTAGCTCAATGCCGATCTTGATGAAGGAGCCTGTGATAGTTAGCACATCGCTAATGATGAGCAGAATATACCATCCGTTAATAAACTCCATTCTGTCTCCCCAACAAACATCACGCTTCAGAGAGGTCTTAAAGTACTTCACAAACTCCTGAAGAGAAAATACAAGACAGAATGTTAGGACAGGATTCGCTATATAATGATTGTCACATGAATGTGGATTTGTTTGATACAATGGCTTACATTTTGAAGAATTATTCCTTTGATTATAGAGCGACCACAGAGGAGCAGAGAGAAAGCACACACCAATAAAACGGCCCCGTCAAACCACACACGAGCATAACTATCAGCTGGAGACAGAGAGACAGCATGAGTATAACATATATAGTGATTATCCACAATGTACAAAAATGATGATGTGAGGTAGCTGAGTCTTACCGTGTCCAGACACACTTGGGTCTTTACACTCCTTAATGGAGGCCTGATTATCAAGACTGATCTTAACTTTACCACTGTGGGCCTTGTTATCCAGCAGAATCTGAACATAAAATAGGATCAATTACATAAAAATGATTACAGAAATATATAACATTGTTATGCTCAAAATAATAAATGACTTTTAAAAATACAGTATAAATTACAAATTGGAAATAGAAAATGTAGATATACTGGGTCAAAACTAAAATTACAGATAAAGAGTTTTCTTTTATAGGCATTTAAAATTACATATTCTTTAAATAATGCATTTTAATATTTTATAATTCTACGAATATAAATAAATAAATGACATATATGAATTATTATTAGTTATACACTAACATACTTGGCAAATTGGAAACAAAATCTAGACATATTGCTCAAAACTAAAGGATATATATTTTACTATACGAGATCTATACATGCAAATATAAATACACAGTTATAATGTTATATACAAAAATAAAGAGAAATGTATAACATTACTAGCTATGCACCAAAATGAAATTTTCCCCAAATTGGAAACAGAAAATCTAGATACACTGGGCTAAAACTGATTTTTTTTTTATTAAAAAGCATAAAAAGTATAGACATTTTAAATGACATTTAAATAAATCATTATTATAATTTTTTTTTATATTCCATTAACAGCTCTGTTAAAGGGTTTGCTTTCTTAAAATATTTAAATTTATATTTTAGGTCTTTTTTTTCCTTGAGTGAAAGCAGCAGCATTTTATGTGGAAACTCACCGTAATGAAGAAAGTGTAACAGTCAGGAATTTCATTGTGGATGATGGTCTGAAGATTTATAGCCTTCAACTGGAACTGTATGGTGACATTAATGAGCCTGAGAAAGAGTTTGTTAATATCAGAGTTTTATTAATCAATGGAAATTTCGGAGAAGGAACAACTTGCTTAAAAAATCCAGTTTAACTTACTTGTGAAACTTGAGGGTGAAGTTCCTGTAATCAAGGCCCAGACCTGGTGTGGGAGCGGACAATGGGTTCACTCCGATACAGTCTACAGAGAGGAAGAGAGAAATTCATTACCAACTAAACCAGCCTCAGTGACTGACAAAGTCATCAGGAGACAAGTTTGGTCAACAGCAAGATTTCTTTTAGATTTACATTAGAAAGTGATTCCTGTGGTACACTCAGTAACAAGGAACTGCAAGTGCAAATCAATGTGCAAAAGAGGAAATAACAAGATCTTTTAGTTTCATCAAGTTCATCGACTAATAAACAAACCAAAAAATTAGTTCCCTTTCGAACGGTCTCTCCCATTGCGCTAATCACACTATGGGGAGACTCCTGTTTACTCTGATACTGAAGCCTGATTTGAACACATTCGTGGAGCTGCACAAACCAATGATGCTTCAAACCACCAAAAGGGGTGGCACTGACTGCTATATAAGTCAGCTCTTAGTGCCATTTCGTCACAATTTTCTCTGCTGACTCTGCAAGCAAGAAGCCGAAGAGAAGAGAAGAAAGAAGCTCAGCCTCCTGCTCACCGCCATGAGAAGAAGCCACCGGCAGCGAAAGAAGCTTGACGCATTCCCCTGTGACTATCCGGCTTCTAAAAAAGAGCATATTTTCTGAGCAAATTTCCACTGCAACGTTGTTGCAAATGTCGTGCCGCAAGTGTGGCTCATGCAGGTAACCCCTGCACGATGCAGATGGGTACGGTGAATGCATCGCCTGTCTGGACAGCGCCCACGCAGAGGCTGTGCTCACCGAGGCAGAATGTTCTCACTGCGAGAGCTTGAGTCTCACTGAAGAAGTCTCACGCCCGCTCTCCATCCCTATGCTCAACAATGCATGAAAATCTCAGACCACTTGCCATCCGGCTTCAGGCATGGAAAGCTATCCCGGATATGTCAAGTTGGGTTCTAAACATCATAGAACGAGGTTACTCGCTTCAATTCGCTCGCAGTCCACCTTGCTTCAGAGGTATTATTCAAACTTCGGTACGGGACAGCGATGCTCATGTTCCATAGTGTAAACGTTGCATGCAAAGGGAGCCGTAGAAACCGTTCCTCTAGCGAACAGCGAGTTGGGCTTTTACAGATGCTACTTC